CCGGGATCATTTAACGTTCTGCCTAAAGCATCCTTGATTATAGCAACTCGAGGTTTGAATTTGTTCTTCAGTTCCTTGAGCTTAAGATATGCTGAACGATGTATCCATCCTGGTAGAAGCAGAATTTTTCTCTGTGCTGCTCTGGAATCCCAAAGTAAAACATTTCTTAAAATGCAAAAAGTGATTTCCACTCTAAAATCTGAATGTTTGTTAATAATAACATACTCATACTGGTTCAATATAAGGAGCTCTGATAGTCTCGTGGTAAGAAGCTTCCCTACCAACCCAAGGGTATGTAGTTCAAACCCACTAGCTTCATAGGAGAAAATGAGCAATCTCCTCCAACATGATTTATTGCCTCTGAAAAACCACTACAGGGTCACCTTTGTAAAGCTATTGGATTGAGTTAATTGAAGTGCACAAAAGAGAACAAAATATTCTAGAAAAAAAGCTTCATGGATGTGCTGCAAGTCTTGTCCTTTTTTAGAATTGATGAGGACTTTTGTGATGATGACAGCAGAGAAGAGACTCTGAAGAAGCTGTGGCCAAACAGAAAAGACTAGAACTTGTGGATCTTGTGTCTGGGTCTCCTCCAGCTCTCCTCCTTCTCACTGTTTCTTGGTCTTCTCTCCAGGCTGAAGAGTTGTCTATGATGTTCTCTTTGCAAGGAGTCCAGATGCTTCAGATGCTGGAGAAGTCCTTGAGGAAAAGTATTCCTGAATCCTTAAAGGTGAGCATGAAAATGTTAAAGGAAGCTATAAGTTGCAATAGAGTTCCCATGAAAGAAGAGATGAAAAGACCAACATTTATCAAACACCTGTTCTGTGCCAGGAATTGTCTCTTGTCTCTTCTTATTTAATTAAACACTCAACAGCTAAATAGAAAGATTAGTGATTTGAACTCACCATCTGTTCTAATAAAGAAAAATGTGGCAGTCTGCTTCTGTAATGATTTCAATGTAGGAAATTCTATGGGACGGTTCTGTTCTACAAAGTTGCTGTACATAGTTTGACATGGTTGTTGTACATAGCTCTACATAGTTGCTGTAAATTGGAACAGACTCAAGGGCAACAATTTTGGGGTTTTGTGTGTTTTTCTCTATAAAATAAATATATCTTACATCCACATCAAAGAGGAGAAATTGAGGCTCAGTTTTCTGATTTGCCCAGTATCACATGAACAGTGACATATAGTGTCGGGTTTGAGTGTATCTGAGAGCAAACACTGTCTGTTCCTTTTTGATGAATCAGGAAGCATGCCTTTGTTTTCTTTACAAGGAATTTTCTATAACAACACTTGACATTTTTCTAGATTTTTCCAAAGTTTATTGAGACTACTTACTAGTTAATTTGCTGAAACTAGGGAATACTTGCCAAGACAAAGATTGACTATAATGAGTCACCCTGGGCAATGCTCACAGGTCAAATTATATTCCATCAACCTCAAAATAGATCAGCTACTAAGCCTTGGAATTTTTCCCTGCCTGTTGCTTTTTCATTGCAATGATTTTTTTTTAAAGAAACTGGATCCATGTATGTGTATTTGTGTTTTCACATTCAGGTGAACCAGGATTAGTTCATTTAAGACTTCTTCAGCTAATGAAAATAGATGACTTTTTTTTACAACCATTTAGCTCAAAAGTCAACTAACTTCAGGTCCAAGTGTAGTAGCAGTATGTTTGACAGGATTTTTTCGTGGACTCAGGAGAAAGAAGGACAATATCCTGCCATATGATTAATTAACTGCCTCTGAAAACCCACCAGAGGGCCAACTGTGGGTTAGTTCTGATTAGATGATACACAACAAAAACACAACAACATCACCCTGATGTGGTAAAATGGTTCTGTTTGCTTCTGAATTTTAATAAGAATGCAATATCTCTCTTCTTTAGTTGTATTTTAAAATAAACAGTCAGTGGCGGGGGGAAAGTATGCCTTAGTGGAAATCTAGAACACTTATATGCTAGTCATTCTTCAATAAGGGTATAACCTAAAACTCACTATTAGGTAATACTCCCTTCAGGTGAGTTGTAAAGAAATTCCATCCATTCTTTTAAGTATTTGAGTATTAATGGATTTTACTGAATATGCAACTTAAGTAGAATTAATTTATGTTTTTAAGTGCTGTCAAGTTGATTACAACTGATAGCAACCTTATGAACAACAGATCTTCCCTATTTTAAAAAAAGCAAGGGCCACATGGAGACAGTCATGTCTGACTTTTATCAACTCTGTGAAGGAGAACTGTCCCCATTAACAGTATCAATAACACAAAACCAGTTCCCATAATGTCAGACACGTCCTCCATGCTCCTGTGCTTCTTTCTCCTCATCTCAACACCAATCTTTACTTCCTTTGCTGGGTTCAAAATCCAGTGTGATAGCTCACAGATCACACAGAACCATTTTAGGGATGTCAAAATGTTATAATCCAGGTTAGTGCAGAATACAGTCAGGATGGCTTCCAAAATGTACTCACAAGCACCTCTGCCTTGAACCTCACAGCTTTAGGCCAGTGTTACAAAGCTCTTAGTCCTTCCAATATTGGCTTCCCATCCCTAGTTATCCAATAAACTTGGACAAAGGTCTTAAGCTCCAGTTTCAATATTGTAGAAATCTCACATCAGGTGTCTAGTTCTTCCATGACTGCTCTTTTCCTGGTGGTGAAGTTCCTTTACTGGTGGTGATAGGAAGTCTAATTCTGCAGCTAGAGCTGTTCAATTTATTGATAAAACTAGCCAATCTGCTTGTAGATTGTTGAGACTGGCCAGTCCCCTTGTGAGTAGGCTAATATACCCCGTCTGCATAGTCCCACCCATCCACATGGTCAAGTCAGATTCAGATGGCTAGGGAAGTCATGTTGAGAGATAAACTCCACCCCTATCTCACAACATCCTCATGATCTCTGTTATACTCCAAACCCTTATGATTGTCACTGTGTCAACCCATCTTATTGAGGGTCTTCCTTTCTTTCACTGACCTTGTACCTTTCCTAGTATGATGTTTCTCTCCAAGGGCCAGCTCCTCCTGAAAATATGCCCAAACTAAGTGAGACACAATTTTACCATGTTTGTCTCTATCTCCTATCTCTAAGGACCACTCTAGTTGTAGTCCCTTAAAGCCAGATTTGTTTGTTCTTTAGGTACTCTGGTATATTCAACACTCTTTGTCAACACTTCTTTTTTTTTCTATAATTATATTTTATTAATTTTCATAAACATTTACAGAGATTTTGGGCTTCCATTCATTCATTGTTGCACTATTCTCTCTACCCTCCTCCCAGTTTGATCTTGTCCAAATGCCACAGTGCTTGTCAAAGCCAGTTCTGATTAATCTTCTTTGTCAGTGTGTCCTTTGCCATTCCCTATCACTCCTCCCTGAGAGAGACTTCACCCTGAGTCATAAGGAAAAGGGGATGGCGTATTCTCTCTTTGTCAACACTTCTATTCAAAGGCTTTGATTCTTTTTTTCAGTCTTCTTTATTCATTGTCTAAATTCCAGATGCATAGGAAGCAATTGATAATACCATGGCTTGGATCAGGAGCCACTTATCTTTAAATTGACATCCTGAATAAGTAGGATAAGTAATGAACTCTTGTGACCTAGTAGGTAAGAAATTGTCCTGCCAACTCAAAGACAGGCAGTTTGAATCCACCAGAGCTCCATGGGAGAAAGATGGGCAATCTCCTTCAGTTCAGTTTACAGCCACTGAAAACCTGGTGAATGATGAGCTATGTTTCCATTCCAGTTCTACAGCCATAATGGTTATTTTTTTGTTTGAAGTAACTGAGGAACCTAGAGAGTGCAAACAGTTTGAAATCTACTGCCAACCTCAAGGTAAAAGTTTGGCCTGTGCAGCAACTTCTGTAATAACTTCTGCAACGATTTCTGTAATAATTAAATCCAAGAAAACTCAATAGATTCCAGATAGAATGGACTAAACATGTGGAACAAATGTAAAAACATCAGATAGCCAGACATACAAGTCCAATGTTATTGTTACATGCTGTCAAGTTGACTGTGACTCTTAGTGACCCTATGAACAGTGACTCTGAATCTTGCCCTCTCATGAGCTGTTTCTGACACACCTGACCCCATTGTCACAGTCACTTTGTTGATTCATTTTATCCAGGGTGTTCCCCTCCTGTGCTGACCATCTACCCTTCCAAGCATGATGTCCTTCTTGAAGGACTGGTTCCTTCTAGCAACATGCCCAAAGGATGTGAGAGAGCGCTTCAATATACTTGCATTCATGGAGCATCCTGGTTTCACTCTTTCCAGCACTGACCTGTTTGTTCTGTTAGCAGTCCAGTAGAGATCGATAAAATACCTGAGACTATGGTCTTTAGTCGCTCCACAAACTTGCAACAGAACTCATCAAAGTGGTTCAACTTTCAGCTAAACACCAGAATTTCAGCTAGAATAAAGTAAAAAGAGCTTGCTAGCAGAAATTGAAGAGACCTGAAACACTTACTACAGATGATCTAAGACTATGGTATTCAATATGGGTGACAGCTTAACATTCAGAAAATAAAGTTCCTCACCACTAAACCAATCTCACACGCAAGCAAAATGTCACTGATAATCATTCAAAATTGGGTAGAACAGTACATAGATATAAAACTGCCAGAAGGTCAAGCTGAATTTAGAAGAGGCCTTGGCCTTGGAATATCATTGCTGATGTCAGATGGATCCTAGCTGGAAGCAAAGAATGGAAAAAGAATGTTTATCCGTGTTTTATTGACTATGCAAAGGCATTTGACTGTGTGAATCATAATAAATTATGCCTAATATTGAGAATAATGGAAATCCCAAAGCAACACTGTTAGATGTGGATGATCCAGGCCATAGTCTTTTCAATCATTTGCTGTGCATGTGAGAGGTGGAAAATGAATAAGGATGAGAGAAGAATTGATGACTTTGAATTGCGATGTTGGGAAATAATACTTACTATCCCATGGATAAATCCCATGGATTTATCAACAATCTGCATTATGCGGATGGCACAACCCTGCTTGCTGAAACTGAAGAGGACCTGAAGCGCCTGCTGCAGA